TTTCTCAATTTAATTTTAATCCTTTTTTATCAAACAAGCAGCTTCTCCTGTAGTTCAGGAATGTCATGTAAGTGTAGATACTCTTGAAGTTTGAAGTTGCTCTGACTTGTTAAAAAAATAGTTCAGTTGTGAGTTGAATGTATGTTGTAGTATAGTTTTAGGATCTTGAAAAATGTAGTCAAAAATTAGTGGAGACAAGGGGTGGTGCAGAACCAAGTATGTTTAAATCTTATACTTTGCTAAACGTGTGTTATGCAGTTACAGTTTGAAAATTTTTTTCTCAGCAGTTACAAAATCCAGAGGTTCGATTTCAGCAGCAGCTGGAGCAGCTGAGTGCAATGGGCTTTCTGAATCGTGAGGCAAACCTACAAGCGCTAATAGCAACAGGAGGAGACATCAATGCAGCTATCGAAAGGCTGCTTGGCTCTCAGCCTTCATAGCAGTGTTTCTTTAACTTGAAAAAATGTAATTTATTTTTGATAACAGCTCTTAAATCTTTAAAATATTTGCTTTATTTCATTCTGACTCTTGGGGTTGTCTTGTTATAACTAAAATTGGTCTGATGCATTTTAAGGTGGAGTGCAGTAGTTTTCTTCAAACAGTGGGAATCAACGCATTTTCACTGTGTTGCATGCATCACACTTCTTTTGTTCTGCATTATTTGTGATTTTTTTGAAACAACATCAGTTTCACAGTTGGGTGGACTGGTTTTGTCTGACCTACAGCTGTCCAATTGATTTACTACTTAAATTACTACTGAAGGCTAATGTTCATGTAGAATACAAATTAAAAAGGAGACAAATTAATTGAAGCTACAATTTGTGGGTACCAATACTGCTTATTGTGATTTTGGCATGTATTTTTTTTGCTAGCAAAACGCTGTAAGATTTATACCACTTGAGCAATCTACCATTTTTTTTGCTTTAATTTGTATAAAGTATAAACACAGTATATACAATGGGGACAGCTCATTTCTAGAGATTTACACACTGCAATAGAATGAAATTATAAGTAAAACAAAAAAGCCAGGGGGCGAGGGGAAAAGTTGTAAGACATGTTTTGATGTAGAATCTTCCAGTATCTTTGGTAACCATCTCAGCAGAAATACTTAAGCAAGTTCAGTTAAAATATACTAGAATTACTGTTCTGGTTATCTCTACATCTAACTGTACAGAAACTTGCATTGTAACATTGTCTCAATATTCACAAAGTTTAACTGTAAATTACCTTTGTCATTGTGCAAATTAAACGGGCACTGCCTTGTGCTCTGGAACTGCTTCTGAGGCTTTTTGGCTTGTTCCATTGAGGTTCTAACATGTATTCGGATTTGTAATTGGAAACATTACTTTCATGGTCATGTGATACTCTTAATTACTTTTAACCACCATGTAAAAAATACTGTATATCTCTTGAGTTTTTGGTAGCTACTTCTCTTGTGCACAGGTAAAAAAATGAATTAAAAAATCTTTAAGCATCTTGTGTCAGTGTGTTTGCAGTTGATGATTACCTAGAATTCAAGATGACTGACTGGCTTAAGAGTTGGCATTTGCGTGTAAACTCGGTGAATGTTCACCAGCTCTGGGCTAACATAGTACACAACTCTTGGAGTGTGAAGTGGAGGGAAAACAGTAAGAGGCATATGATGTTGAAGTTAAAATGGAATGATAAAGTGATGTGAAATTAGAGCAGAATCAGTTGGTAAGATGAATTTATTATTATCAAAACCTTTTAAAATACTTGTAGTTTGGGTACAAACATGTTCTTACTTTTATTTCCTAGCCAGTGATCAGACCCACCATCATACCTTCACAGTGGCTTCTCTTGGGTGGGTACCTTTCATTGCACTGAGGCTGTGATAGGGAAGTAATAGATAGCAAATAGTTTCTGGAGAATAATCACTACCTTTAAGCAGTTATTTTCACAGTGAATATTTATTAGGATCTTCAAAGTAACTAATTTGACTTGATTTTCTAGTGTGCCCTATTGGGACGTTGCTTTGAAAAAAGCAGGACCCCTCATTGTTCAAAAGGGATCTCCTTTGAAGAATACAGTCTCCTTTGAAGAATCCAAAAAGACTACTGTCAATTGAAAGGGGAAGGGAACAATTTTTATCAAGCTTATACCAATGCACTAAAAAAATATACCTAACTAGCAGGAACAGTTTCTTGAGACAGCATTCAGTTCACCTGTATTTCAGTTGCATGTTACAAACTAAGACATGCTGTATTTGAAGTCAAATTTTATTGCAATTCAACAAGAGGTGAAGTTTGACCTAAATTCTAGAATGACTCCTTAAGCTAAGCTTCCTTCTTGAAGTAGAACTGATACTCATCAGTAACCATTGTCAACTAGTAACAACAGTTACTAACTTCTCTTCTAAGTAGTGGTAAAACACTGAGCCATCTTCTGCACAGGAGGAATTTTAGTTGTCAGAAAACAGTAGGTAGAACAAGGTTTATAGGTAGGGTAGACTTTTTATTATACCTTTAGCAACAACAGAAAGATCGCACTTGTTGGTTTACTAGCATATTGCAGTGTTACTGTTCACCCCCCATACTCATTGTCCCTTTTCCTGTCCTGGTTTAAAATTCACTCTTCAGAAGTATCATCTACCGCTTCGTTCAGAAGCAACCTTACAGCTAACTCTTTAAGGACCTGAAATGTTGTAGGATTGTGTTTGGACAGGTAAATGAAACTAAAGTACAGGGGTGATCTTTTCCTTCCACTGTCCACACACAGAGCATTGTTAAATTGGAGAAGTAACGGTGTGTTGTCTTTCAGAGTAGCAGGTAGCAGTCTACTGAACTGTGCAGTAACTGAAACTGTCCCAGATTGTGGAGCTGGGGCTCACAGACAGCCCTGTGAAATGCAAGTTGAATATTCTTTCTGAGCAATTTGTGCATTACTGCAGCTGCATGTCAAGGGGCCAGCAGAAACCAAGGAGGCTTTCCCTGTAGAGGGGACAAAGCCAAGCTGCAAGCCCCCGCGGATTTAGCATTTTGCAGTTCAGCCGTGTGGCACTGTGGCAGAAGTTTTAAGAAATAGTGAATTGCAACAGTTCTGTCCAGCTGCATACACAAGCCTGGTTCTGCGTTGGAGCAAATAAATCAAACATCAGATGGAGCTAATGACAAGCCTCCCAGGAGTCTTGCTGCCTTCATTTTCTAAATAAAAAGCCAGTAGGAAGAGTCCAGAGGGAAAGCATCTCTAGAAGGTTGTGTTCCTGAAGATTTCACCAGCACTTCCCAGTGAAAGTAATGGCTTCTTGGTTTATACAGTCTCTTTGATGTCCTTTGCATTATTTGAACTATGGAAATGCTGTGTTTTGCTTTAAGTAAAAAGGAAATGTATTAAAAGGTTAAGGGAATGTAAGATTTCTTTCATTGGAGCAAAGAGTGAGAAATACCCTGACTTAATTTGGGGAAGGATGAACTGCCTCTAAGTGACAAAACACTGTTTTGTTTAGAAAAGACTCCCACAACTCAAGGTGCTTACACAGACTTTCCTAAGGGAGAACAGTTTTAAAGTGTTGAGTAAAATTTTCTGTAGGTGCCCGCCATTTTGTGAGCTTGCTATAAATGCTGACAAGCAGATCTGAAAATCAGAGTCTAGGCTTTTTGGTGCTCACACTTGAAAATGTTGCCCAAGATTTTTTTTTTTTTTCTAAATTTGAAGTTCTGATCACATCTGCTTGTGACAGGATGCAGCTGCTGCCCCATCATGGTTCCTGTCACTAGATCCCTGTCCTGATCTGGGTTTATTGTGTCTGAAAAAAAAAGTGAGCATAAATCTGTATTAAATAATGGGTATATGAGAAGAAACTCTTTCGTTGTAAAATGGTGTAAATTGGGAAAATAGGAAGACTACACTAGAAGCAGAGGTAACTAGAAGAGGGTGCCCCTTTGATTTTCATAGCCACTAAACTTTTACAGTTCTTGTAAGTTCTTACAGTCTCTGAAACCAGGGGTGTTAGGAATAAGCTCATGCCCCGAACTGTCTCCGACTCTTAAGCTGGCACCTTGGCTCTCAGCATAAACAGGCTCTGGGTTGAGACCCAGCTCTTTTTTAGTGCTGCAGCGTTGTACAGCAGCAGACTAAAACTGGTAACAGCCTGGTGTTCCCCCTCCAGGTCACAAGCAAACAGGAAAAGACCATGTCTGAGTGGGTGTGTTGATGTCTACAACCCCCAAATCTGTGTCTGAAAATGCCTCCTTTCAGTTCGATGACGGCTGTTTATTGCACTGATCTAAACCACAAAGCCCTTACTCCTCATTCATATAAAAATGAGTGGACAGACAGATCTTTTTCAAACTAGCCCAGGTAAAAATTCGAAGATGCTTTGAAACATTCAAGTTTGCTTCTAAAGGAGTTTAGCCATCATCCTAAAAAATTGCATGACACACTAAAAATAGTCCACGTGCAACGGCTTGTGGAGATGACTCCATGCAAACAGGACACAAATTTTTCCTAGGGAAACTACGTGCACTTTTTACTCTGTTAAGCTAAAAAAGCACCTCTTGTGTAACAAGGCAAAGAGCTGTTTTAATAAACACTTTGGCAATAAAAATGGATTTTTAACCTTAAATTCTGCGAGTTAGGTAACTGATTGGATGTTTGGAATTTAATGATCACCAAAAGAAAAGAAAGTTGTGAAAAATGTGTATTAGAAATAGAATCATAGAGTGGTTAGGGTTGGAAGGGACCTCAAAGATCATCTAGTTCCAACCCCCCTGCCATGGGCAGGGACACCTCCCACTAGACCAGGTTGCTCAAGGCCCCATCCAGCCTGGCCTTGAACACTTCCAGGGTTGGGGCATCCACAACTTCTCTGGGCAACCTGTTCCAGTGTCTCACCACCCTCATAGTAAAAACTTTCTTCCTGAGATCTAATCTGAATCCTTTTTCTTCCAATTTAAAACCGTTTCCCCTTTTCCTATCATTACACCTCCTGGCAAAGAGTCCCTCCCCAGCTCTTCTATAGGCACCCTTCAGGTATTGGAAGGCCGCTATCAGGTCTCCCCGGAGCCTTCTCTTCTCCAGGCTGAACAATCCCAGCTCCCTCAGCCTGTCTTCATAGGAGAGGTGCTCCATCCCTCTGATCTTAAGCTTTAAAGCAGTTGTATGGACACGTATCCATAAGCATTATTGGCCTGGGCCATCGGCTGAGGTGGGAGACTGTAGCACACCAGAAGAGGGAAGCGAAGGAGAAGGTCCAACTGTGAAAGAGTGAGTTAGTTTTTCTGAAAAGAAGGAAACATCTATTCATCTTGGTTGCCTTGGTCTCCACCGTGCTCTATCAATGGCTATGCTTTGTCTGTGAAAGATGCAAGGTCAAAGTGTATGTGGCATCGCATTGGCTCTATTTCTAAAGCTTTCCATACAATTACATTTTGTGTATTGCCTCACCACCACTACTCTTTTTTTCTTATATTTTTCAGCTTTGTGCTCAGCGCGTACAGTAAGAGTTCATAGTAGCTCTCAAGATGTCACCAGTGAGGTTAGCAAGCACACAGACAAAGAAGCTGCAACTTCTTGAAAATCTGGCAGTGAGGCAAGGGTAGCTACAGAACTTCATCATGCACTTCTAAAAAAAAAAATAAAAAAAATTTGTTGCTTCTAACAAAGGTATAACTTATTTCATCACTTAATAGCAGATGTGCCCAATCTCCATGTTTGACAGTAAAAATTAAATCAAAGAAATTAAATTACTCTGTGTGACCCTTTGGAGGATTTTCAAAAGCAGGCTCTTCCTAGAACGGGAGGTTTAACTTTGTATGTTGAAGGGTTTAAAATTTTCAAAAACTGTCAACTTTTTTCTTACATGTCTTTTACAGAGCCATGATAAAAATTTCCAGAGCAGTAAATCAGCTCTTAATGCAGTAAAAAAATACAGTTATCAGGAAAAATAAGTCTGATTTAATCAATTTAATCTATCAATAACAATCAATTTAATAATTAAAATGCTGTTTCATACCCTTATGGGAATTTCTGTATCCCTGATTCAGAAAGTTAGTCCAGAAGAGCCTCACCCTGAAAAATGGCATTCTCAATCTCCAACACTATTTCAGGGAGAGATTTTTCTAGACTGACAGTAATAAAGTTTTCTGGTGCACTAGGAGGCTCCAGAGTATCTAACTGAGACTTGAGAAGTTCGGGTGGCATAAAGTGTCCCCTCCTCTTCTCCAAGCGGCCAGCAATGATGTCTACAGGCCCGTCCAAATGAACAAAGAGGATCTTCAGTGCTGCGTTTTCTCCTGGTTGCTCTGGCTGGTTGCTTTCAATTCCAGATGCTCCGCTAACTAATACACGCCTATACATCTTCTTCAGTGCAGAGCAAGCCAGAATTGCATCTTGTCTAGATGAGTCTTCTCTATCAAAAAAGATTAAAAAAAAAAAATAAAATACATCAACATGTGGTATAACGAAATGGCTTGCTAGTTCTACTGAAGGGAGACACAATCTGGTCCTTGCAGAGGAGAGTCGTGGGAGTAGTGGCGCTTTTTTTGTCATTTTGACAGGACTTTGAAGCCAAAGCTCCAATGAAGGTGAAGATGTGATTTGAAAGTGAGGTCAGGCTAGCCAGCCTCCTGGCAAAATCTCAGTCTTGGAGACCTTCCCTATTAGCCACCATTCTTTCCTAAATTAAATTCAGTTCTAGCACAAGGAAGTGTCATGATCCTTAATTGCTGATAATCTCAGCAACTGAGCATCCACACAGGCTCCCATCCATCAGCTAAAAAATTGCTATACTAAGCTGCTAAGGAAGTGGCTGCTGAACTGTGCAGAGATCTGTTCTTAAACGCATACACAGGTACACTTCCAACACCTGTTTTCACTGTCTCAAATTTAATATCAAATCTTAGATTTCCTGTAACCATACTCATTGGCAGCACCAATGCAGTTGGGTGCAGATAAATTAATGCCTTGCACGTGTATTTTTTACTGGCAAGGTCTTTTAAAATAAAGCAGGCATAAAACTGGGGGGGTGTGTGTGACACCGAAAAGCAAATCCAGAACTAGTTGTCTCTATGAATAGTGCCTGAAATGCCTGCCTAAGAAAATAAATTCTGCAATCAAATTAGGAATGAACCTATTTAAAAATCATGCTATGTTCACCAGATTTTGGTTCACAGGGAAGTAAGAACTTAACATACTGTTACCACCTAGGTAAGCCAACGCTAGCCTCAGCTACTTATAATTAGTAGCATTTAAACATTGGCATTAGGCTCTTCTAAAGTATACTTGATTTTGCAAAGTTTCTGGAGCTGGGTGGTGGCCTTAGGCTAGCATGTAACATACAGCAATGGATCCACCGTAACAATCCAGACAAATTTCTCAGTGAATTAACCCAATGAGGTATGCTCACCTGATGTGCACAAAGCAAGTAACAGCCACTGTGTAAAGCCAGGCTAAAGAGAGACCCTGCTCTCCCAGCTTCTCCTCATTTGGGAGATGCTCCAGTCCCTTTATCATCTACATAGCCCATTGCTGGATGCTCCCCATGACTCTCCCGTAATGGGAAGCCCAGAACTGGACACAGTACTCCAGGTGTGGCCTCACCTCTTCTTCAGTGCTGAGAAGAGGTGAAGGATTGCCCTCCTTAACCTGCTGGCAACACTTAAGTCTAACACAGCTCAGGGTATCACTGGCCTGTTTTGCCAGAACACATTGCTGGCTCACGTTCAGCTTGGGTGTCCACCATGAACGCCCCAGGTTCTTTCCTGCAAAGCTGCTTTCCAGCTGAGTGCCCCCCAGAGTCCGTAGTGGTGCCTGGGTCTGTTTTCTGCTTTGGATTGCAAAGGATAAAATATTTTTAGTGCTTTTTTTTTTTCATCATTAGCCCAAATGTGTTAAAGCTTCATGTTCTCTTACCTCCTTAGTACATCATGCAATGCACAAAGCCAAGGAATCCTGTCCTAGAGAGAAAACAAGCTAGTTGAAAATTGTTTATGAAACTGATTTTAAATAGTTGGTTCTAACATCTAGAACACTCTCCCTTGTACTCATGGGGGACTTCAATTTCCCTGATATCTGCTGGCAATATAACACAGCAGAGAGGCAACAGTCCTGGAGATTCTTGGAATGCGTGGAAGACAACTTCCTAACGCAACTGGTGAGGGAACCGACCAGGGAAAGTGCCCTACTGGACCTGCTGATAGTTAACTCGGAAGGTCTTGTGGGGGATGTAAACGTTGGAGGCCGTCTTGGACAAAGTGATCATGAAATGATAAAATTTTCAATTCTCACTGAAGCAAGGCGGGGGGCCAGCAGGACTGCCACCCTGGACTTCCGAAGGGCAGATCCTCTTCAGGAGCATGATTGGGGGTGTCCCTTGGGAGATGGTCCTCGAGGGCAAGGGTGCCCAGGAAAGCTGGTCATTCTTCAAGGAGGCACTCTTAAAGGCGCAAGATAAAGCTATTCCCAAGTCCCTAAAATCAAGCAGGAAGGGAAGAAGACCAGCCTGGCTAAATAGAGAGCTTCGGCTGGAACTCAGGAACAAAAAGAAGGCTTATAATCTTTGGAAAAAGGGCCTGGCAGATAAGGAGAAATACCATGAAGCGGTGAGGATATGCAGGGGGAAAATTAGAAGGGCCAAGGCTCAAGTGGAGCTCAGCTTGGCCACCAATATTAACAATAACAAAAAGGGGTTTTTTCAGTATGTTAACAGCAAGAGAAAGGTGAGGGATAATGTGGGCCCACTGATGGATGACGTGGGCACCCTAGTAGTGGAAGACACGGAGAAAGCAGAGTTGCTGAATGCCTTCTTTTCTTCAGTCTTCACTGTTAGGACTACCCCTCATGAATCTGTGGCCTTAGAGGCAAGGGGGATGGTATGGAGAGAGGAAATTTTTCCTCTAGTAGAGGAGGGCCAGGTTCGGGACCACTTGGCCAAACTGGACATTCATAAGTCCATGGGGCCTGATGGGTTGCACCCACGAGTGCTGAGGGAGCTGGCAGACGTTATCGCTGGACCACTCTCGATCATCTTTGAGAAGTCATGGAGAACAGGAGAGGTGCCTGAGGACTGGAGGAAGGCCAACATCACTCCAGTCTTCAAAAAGGGCAAGAAGGAGG